ATTTCTTTTCATCTCTTATCCTGTAGATGATTCCCTGAATGTCAAAAATACACAACGTTGTGGGACAATTAGTTATCCATATGGATAACTATTTTAAAATAGGCCCCTTTGTTACATCATACCGAAAAATTCATTCCAAATGAATGAAGGACTTAGAAGTGAAAGTGAAAACTTTAGAACTTAAAAAAATTGGAATTATTTTAAAATTCCAAATAAGAAAATATTTTTCAAACAAGAGAGAACAAGTACAATTTATAAAGGAGCTGAGGAATACTTTTGACCATATTGGTATTAAAACATCTATTCATAATACATACGATTAAAAAAGGAAAATTCAAGTCACAAACTGGCAGAAAACGTTTACAAACATCTAACCAACAGAGGCCCAGAATCTAGAATATTTACATAAAATCTTTAATCAATAGAAAAAGAATAAGAATGCAGTAGGAAAGTGGGCAAAATCACAAATAAGTAACTTTGTTAGAAAATCAAAGACATGCAAATTAAAACCACAAGGAAATGCCATATTTTACTCTTCAGTTTGCCAAAATTTTTTAAACTTGGAAAATATCAAGTCTTGGCAAGTTTAGAGCAACAGAGCTCTCCCATTGCTCATGAATGAGTAATTTGTACAATGATTTTGGGAGAAATACCTTCTGGCCCAACAATTTCATTTTTAGGTCTATGACTTAAAAACTATTGTACACATGCATCTGGAAACATGGACAAGAATCTACAAAGAACTTTTGCCCACAACAACAAAATGCTGAAAACAACTGAAATATACGTATATCATAGAATAGAAAAATAAGTTTTACTAGAGTCACACAATGGAAACTCTACCACGGTGCACAGGGAGGACCCACACCTCGTGTGTCTGCATAGGCAGACCTAGAAACAATTCAGAGTGAAGGAAGCAAACTGCAGAAGAGAGCATGTGAATCCGATTATATGACATTCTAGTCCAGGCACACTTCAGTAGTAATTTCTCTAGAGAGGTAACAAGTGATCAAGAAATGCAATGAATCTTAAAAGAAAACCGATTGCGTTCCCAGAGCAGTGGAATTGTTACCCCTAGCTGAGGGAAGCAGTCTGGCCATAAAGCTAAGGGCTGGTCTATTTTTTTTTTGTTGTTTAGGGATTTTTAAAAATTCTTAAATTTCCTTCCCTTGGAAAAATTTCTCTCTGTGAAATACCAACACAAAACAAAACAAAAACAAACAAACACACGGTTTGATTTCTGAGATTCCTGAGGGTTTGGGGAGGTACCTTCCATAGTGTGGCGTGCTCCACACTCCTCACAGTGCAGCTTTTCAAACACAGCAGGTGCTGTTTTTCCTTCCCATTGGAGGGTCTCAATTAACTCGTGGTCCTGGTGTGTTCAAAGTCCAAAATGACTTTGCTCCCCCTGCAAGTTGTAATTGCGTAATAGTTGCTTGTAAAGGAAATTGATGTGATCATGTCTGGCTAGCAGGAAATTGAGCAGATAAGTGGTCAGAGCGTTACGCGAAAGCTTTAATGGACCAGCAGCTGGACCCCTCTCTGTGCGTCACCACCCTCCATTTTTCTCCACGGGCTTTGAATTTTGTCTTAGTACCGTTTTCCTGCCACCATCATACAATATTTTAATTATTTTTAAATCTTTTAATTATTAAAAAATATCAGTATAATTATTACAAACGCCTTAGCAAAGAAAGGTTTTACAAAGCTTCAAGTGTGGTGGTGCTGAATAAGTAGAGCAAGGAGTTTTCAAACAACAGCAGCAACAACCAAAGCCCTTTAAAAAATGTTTTATTAGGATTAATAAATCTGTAACCACAGGACAAATTTATAGCCATTAATTCTTGTAGAATGATGTGTTGTTTCCCCTTTCTGTACTTGAAAAGAAAACAATTTCAGCGCATAAAAGCATTAGAGTCATTGTTGAAGTTCCATAAAACCCAGGGAGCACCATTTTCATATCTTTAAGTCCCATAAAATTCCACTGGATCGTTTGTACTGAGAGGAACGTGAATGCACGTAAATCACTATCGCATTCTACTGCGTCAAACCTCGGATACAGATAATCCAGCTTCGCATATACTTGGTATGTATAGGTTGGGAATTTAGGTTTCTCTTTTGTACATAGAAAGAAAATGGTTCACAGGTCTTCGGGAAGGTGAACTCCACAAAACTCGACCTGGACTTCTCATCGCCACAGTCTAGATGTGAATTCTTGAATAAGTAATTTTACTTTTTCTGATATGCCGTTTCCTCATCTAAATTCCCTCTTATGTTGCTTCCATTCTAAAATTTCACATTTTGTCTTTACTCTTTACTAAAAGACATGTTATATTAAGCATGTAACATGGTATTTGTGGGCGCTGCGGGGAGGTTGTAGTACCATGCATCATTCCAGGGTTCACCCCGGCCACGCTAACACCAGCATCTTGGATAGAGTATGTGCTCCGCAACCATTTTATTTTATTTTTTTTTTATCCTCACCCAAGGATATTTTTCCATTTTTTGTACAGATAGAGTAGGAGGGAGAGAGAGGAAAGGAGAGAGAGTGAGAAACATCGACGTGAAGGGACACATCGAGTGGCTGCCACCCGCACGACCAACCAGGGCCGGGTTCAAACTGCAACCGAAGTACATGCCCTTAGCGGGAACCGAACCCGGGTCTCTCCGGACCGCAGGCCGACGCTCTAACCGCTGAGCCAAACTGGCCAGGGCGCTCCGCAACCATTTTAAATAAATGCGTGAACGAATAGCTTCAACTCAGTGACACTAACCAGAGCTTGTAATTAGACTAAAAATTTTTCTTTCATTAAAATATTATAGCAGATTCTGTGTAAGAATTTTTAATCATCTGACTTTCCTAGGGGAATTTTTAAAACTCCTTATCTATCCAACTTGGCACACTCCTAGACTAGCATTCTAAAGAATGAGTTTTAAAACAGTTGAAAGAAATTGATTAGAGCACAAGTATTTACTTTCCTCATTAGCATTTTGTCGGCCAATCAACATGCCTTCTACCCACTCACTAAACAATCTTGGGCATGTTAATTCTCCATTTCGGGTCTCTGGCTCTTTGAAAAATGGGAATAACCATGTTGACCTGTTTTGAGGAGGAAACAGCTAATAGAGACATAAAGATAAAATTCATCAGTAAGCCTGTGGATGGCTAACTTCTAATATCAATCAGTGAGAGATATTTATGTGGTTGCTTCCTTTGGAGAAAACTTCTGTAAATGAAACAGTACCCATGAAGAAATACGGGTTTTTTCCTTGCACGGTTCCCAAGTTTGTTTGTTTGTCTTTGGGTTGTTGTTTGTTGTGGATTTTCCCCCCTTCTATCTTTCTTAAGGAGTTTGGAAATAAGATGAGTATCCTTGTGGGGTATCTGCTGAGTATGTACCCTTCAAGGTCAAGACATTTTTCATGATTCATCAAAGTAAATAATGAAGAGGTGAGCAAATGTAAAGTTCACAGGATGGTTCTTTGTGGAAAAAAATTTAGGGCTAATTTACTTTTTTGTGAGTCAGTGGAGACAGAATAGTTCTAGACATTTATTGCTAAATGTTAGACTAGACACTTTATAGGCATGATTGAAAAGTTATGAAAATATTACATCAAAAGTGCCTCATCATTATAAATATCATATCTAGTTTTAATAGACACGAGTCATAAAACTAGACCACTTCCCCATCCCTAGAGGTTTTACTGACCATGGTAATTAATGTTAACATCTGTTAAGGTCCCTTGCCTTGTGAAATAATAAATTATCAAATAGCAGGACCATAAAAGAGTGACGATTGTCTGTACATGGTTCACCATATGGCCCAATTCAGCGCTAATATAGGGAAAGCCACGAGCTTAGTCAACAATAGGCATATTATTGCCTGTGTTCACAAGAGTGCATTTCTACAAGTAGTGGAAGTACAAAGTCATATAATGATAAATGTTGGCCTTGCAAAGATGAAGCTAACATCATTTGCTATTTACCACAATGGAACTTAAATCTTTTCAAATTAAACTCGTGATGGATTTTAATCACTTGGTTAATGTTGGTAAATGATTATGCCTCAAGACATTACGATAACGATCATTATTAGCAAGACTCTGTTTCTACAATGTTTTTAATGTTTAAAATTAATCTAGAAGTCAAGATCCATTAAATCATTATTCCTGAAGCAGAATTTAAAAGATTCACATAATTCACGTCGCTGCATTTTAAAAACAAAAGCTAAAAAGGCAATGGGGAAAATGCACAAGAAAATCAAGCTATTAACTACAGCGCCACCAAGTGACCAACCTCAAAATTCCATGTAGAAGCAAAAAGGCAATTACACCAAGGAAAATTGCGATATGCAGAAAAGAGACCACAGTAAGAACCTCAGATGGATGCTGTGTATTGACCCATAATGGGTCTCAGAACTCTAAGAGGTCAACTTCCTAGAATTACAAGGTTCAGAACGCTGGGAATCGCAGGAATCAGCGGTGGGTTGCCAGAGAACCTACAATTTGCAGAATTTGAGTCACAGTTGGAGATTAGCCCTTTAAACAGCAGCTACATTTTTAAATGTAAAACAAAAAAAAAGAATGAAAAAAGAAATGTTCGCTTGAGCGATATGAAAGAGTTGACCATAACACATGACATGATGTCATCTTCCAGCACAAAGAATAAAATGTGAACACAAGAGAAAATTATACTATAAAACTTTTATGTCACATTTCCTATAATCTGAGAAATCTATTATTCGAAGTGTCAGGCTTCACGACTATTAAATGTTGAAATCAGACTAGATGATTTTGAAGTTACTTACCAAGCCAGAAATCTCGTGGCAAGAATCACTTTAAGGCACGTGGTTCAACAAATTTTACGCAAAAACATATATGTACATGTTTCTATAGGATGCAATTTTACTGTAATAGTCTAAGTGACAACACATCTAAATTGAATAAAAAGAGAAACATCTTATAAATCCAGAAGAAAATAACTTAGAAATCATTCTTACCAGCAACGTTTAAGACTTTTATTTATTCACCCACTTATCACGTGTGTCTTGGTTTCCAACAATATGCCAGGCATGTTCTAGGGATAACGACGTATCATAGAAACTATTCTTCAAGATAGGAAGGTATTGTTGATAAAAGAAACTCAAAACTAATTACACAAAGGAGATGTGGGTTATTGAAAAATTAGATTAGTTCTAAGGAATATGTAAAATCAGTCTATAGACTAAAGTTAAAGTCTCCGACTCCACCCTATGAGCTGTTCCTGGAATCGCTGTTTTTATTCTTAAGCCAAGAATCATAAACTGAAAACCAACCAACCAACAAACAAAAATGACTAAGCGAATGACGAGTTTGAATGACTAATGGGAGAAACTTAAGAGGAGCTAAATATAAACCATCGCACTATATAGACTGACAAAACCAGGCCTAAAAATAGAAAGTGATGAGAGGCCGGGTATTGTTTTCCATTGCACAAAGAGATAACCCTGGGAGTGAGCAGTTAGAAGGAATTAGGAAAAGGAAACTTCAGACAGTATCAGGAAAAAAGCTTCCTGTCAGAGAAAATCATCAGCTTAATAATATCACTTGGGGAAAATGTGTTAACGTTCCACTTGGGCAGTGGTTCTCAACCTTCCTAATGCTGAGACCCTTCAATACGGTTCCTCATGTTGTATGTGGGCCTATCTGCATGTGGGCGGACCCGCCTGGAGACGGAGCGGTGTCTCTGTTCCTGAGACCATCAGAAATATGTGTCTTCCAATGGTCGTAGGTGACCCCTGTGAAAGGGTCGTTTGACCCCTAAAGGGGCCGCGACCCACAGGTTGAGAACCGCTGCACTTGGGGATCTGTTGGAAGCCCACTGCCCGGAGCGCTGGGGCATGTTTGCTGGCATCCCAGCGGGACAGCGGGCGAGTGATGCCTCTCAGACCCTCCTTCACACTCTGCAGATGCTAAGGACTGGAATGGAACATCATGAAGTGGGAGGGGCCGAGGAAAGCAAATGTTTCTTAGCATAATATGAAAATGGTTTATGTTTTTAAAAATGACAAACTACCCAATTAAACCACTTTTTCCTTTCCAAGGTTTTTCTCCAGTTGGTTTGAATAAAGAGAATGAACAGGCCCAACACTCTTTCTCTGAGGAGACCACTGGATTCCAGCCCTTAATGCCACTGACTAGACATGATATAGGAAATGTTATTTAAAAGAAGAAGTCAGCACCTGCCATACATAACAATTCAAATTTCTGATTCTACCTCCTATCCTGAAATAGGAAAATCAGACAGAAAACATCACCAGGCCAACACACGTTAGTTCTAGAGAGTTCAGTCTGTCTGATTTCCCCTGACTTGTCAATATCCTCACGTTCCATTACAATGACCTCTAGGGAATCTGAATGTCTCTTGATCTTGCTGGACAGGACAAACTCTCACTCAGCCCACACTTGCCTCTAATCTGACCATGCCAGTGAGGCACAGACATTGTCTTCAGCTGCCTTTTTAGAAGGGCAGGAAACATAACCAAGCTCTGTTGTCTCAGCACCTGCCCTTTGGGTTCTGTGACTAGACACCTTTGCCTGGCTTCCATTCCCAGCGTGGGGATTAGAGTCCAGTGGTGTTATCCTCATCACTTCTGCTTTGTGGTTTGGACCTTGGCTCTTTTAGTTACTTATGTGACTCCTGACTTGAACCATCTACCGTGTTTCTAGAATGACGACTGTACTGGTTTTGGTTTCCCAGTATTTCCCCGTCTCCTAGACCTAGGCTATGATCCTGATGTTGACTCACAGAACTTCATCCTAATCTTTGCTTTGATTTATGGGGTCATTTAAAAAAATTGTTGCAGGCTTTATCTGCTCAGCTCTGCTGGGACAGAAACTCCTTCTAGTTTGCAGACCTGTGCCTAAGTATTTGTCATGTAAAAACAAACCCATTTTCCTTTTGTCAAACCATGTGTAAAAGAATCAACAGTGATATCTCTGCTAAAGTAATAGAATATAGTTTAAATTATTATTTAAGCCATAAGCTATTAGTTATTATTAGTCCCTTTTACAGGTGAAGGGATTATTTTATTTTATTTTTTTACTATTTATATTTTTTGTGTGTGCAAAGATTGAGGTAGTGGGATTGTTTTAATTTGTTTGTTTTAATATGAGTGGTTAGAAATGTAGGTTAGAATAATCATATAACTGATGTATCCATTTGGTTTACTAGAGCACTACCTACCATAACTTAGTATGTATACTCTATAATTTTCTTGCATAAGTAAATTATCGTTATTTCTTTTAAGTACTGCTGGCATTCACAATTTTTTTTTTGCCTTCGTAACTTAGAAATTCTGATCAACAGACAGGTAAATTGATAGTCTTTCTTGATGAGTTATAATTAAAGTACCAAACGCTTATTTATGTCAGGAAATAGATCGCCTGAAAATACCTATGCATGTGCCTCAAGTGCACTCGCGTGATTTCAGTAGCAGGAAGTACTTACAACAGAAAATCACAGTTCTAAACCAGGATGGAGTACAAATGCTGTAGCTCCAACACTTGGTAAAACTATGCCACAACTTGCAGAAATTCTCTGGTCTACAGAAACATCCTCTCATCGCTCCCTTGTTCCCAGCTACTTCCAGAGAGCAAGTTGACAAGGACAGTCTCAGTTAACCTGACTGCCTAATTTCTGCTTTAATTGTTAGAGCATATGCCTGGGGTACCAAAGATATAATTACTTTTCTACCCATGCATGCTCCCCCCGCCCATACATTTGTGACATGGGCTTCCAGGTACGTGGGTTTTGGAATCCTATCTAATCCAGCAATTTCGTGCTTCTGTAGTTCAGCGTGAGCAATATCATTTTGAAAGGCTTCTCAAGATCGTAACTCAACTTGATCATTTGGAATTTCATGAAACCAAAAAGAAAACTTCTTGGCTTTCATTCATCATGCTATACTTTTGTATTATTATTATTATTATTATTATTATTATTAAGCAATAAGAAATCTTGAGAAATAAAAAAAAAATTTTAAATATCAGATCCTAAACTTAAATTTCAGAATCTTAGACATCTTAGTAATTAGGTTTTAATAATACCTAGTTTTGTTAATAATATCAGGTTAAATTACATATAATTACCATTTTTATAGATTAACAGTGTCAAATTCTGGTATCTTCAGAAGTTTAACTACATAAAATCAAAGCATAATAATAAATTTCATTGAACTAGACATTCTTTTAGACACGTATTTGTATTGTATTAGGGCTTCACAAAACCCTGCAAGATAGGCAGTAGTAGTATTCCCTTTATAGAGGAGGAAATTATATAATTTGACAAAGTTGACATTACTATTAGGCTTTGGTTTAAACCTATGTTCCTGTCACTGTGCTGTGCTGCTTTCTTAGATCATGTCAGAGGTGATCTTTCCACTCGTCCCTACGTAGTCATTTATTCTCTCTAAAATGCTCTTAAAAATTAGTCAAGTAGTCTCTTGTTAGACACACCAATGTTTAACTTTAGATGCAACCCCATCCAATTTTGTATAGCTTTGTTATAAAACGTTTATTTCTATTGAGTAAAAATTTGTCTCCCCATGATTTCTACTCTTTTTTCCTGTTTCTGCACTCTAAGACAACCCAGAAGAGGTCTATCTGTTAGTGCAAACAGCAGTCTTTGAAATACACGGAGGTAACTGTGTATTGCCATGCTTCAACATCCCTAATTCTCTAAAACATCCCTGCATCACAGAAATTGTTGCTTGCCCAATCATGGTTTACAGTGTAATAAAAACCAGGACAATGACATCCCTTTACTAACTGGGTAATATGATTTTAGTTACCTTATTTTCTGGATGAAAGTAGTTTATAGGAAACTAGTATGAATATGATAATGAGAAAAATATTCATGCAAGCAAGGACTGGGCTTGTATGCATTTACTTTTTAAAAATTTTAGAATAAATGCAAATGTGTGTATAAACAAGATATTCCTTAATGGCGCCAAGTTTGGCACCTTGGAATAAGGTATGTATTTGTTCTGTTCATTGGTTAGAACATATGATTCTGGTTGTTGAGTCATCAAATAAAAGTACAAGAAGAAGATAACAGAAAATATATAACTTTTATGGGACAGCATGAGCAATATCATCTTGAAAAGACTTTTCAAGACTTGTTCCAGAGTTAAGGCATATGGTGTAGATAGGCCTGGGGCTGAAAGGACCATAGAGTTTGGGGCCAAAGTATGACATGGTTTGATATGGGGGCAAGTTGGAAAAGATGACAGGGGTGGCCTTAAAAGACAGTGAGGAGAAAAAACGTTCTCAGTGTGCAAAGCTGAGACAACACACCTGACTATCCTTTTGATGTGCAAGAGGCAGTTACCTGAGGTGAGTCTGGATAGAGATTCCTAAGCAATTGTCAGGGTTTTGGAAGGAAAGGACTAGAAAATTAGAGACAGGAGGTTTGCAGAGTGGCATGTGAATGGACATAGGAGAGCAGGCAAAAGTGTGACATTTTTGTATTCCAAATTGGTGACCACCATAAAACATCTCCCACTGAAGAGGCACTGAACAACCAAGTCAACATAATTACTTGTTTGGCTGTTGTTAGCCATTCTTTGTCACTGGCCACCTAGAACCAGCATATGGGTACATGCATGGAGCGGCCGCGGTGGTAGTGATGCAGACTGTATATGAGCCCATCAGCATGGACTCCCATTTAAAAGGTCAGTGTAACTACTGATGCCTCTGAATAACAACACCGAGCTGCTGGAATTATATTATTCTGTAATGAAACCATCTTATGGTAAATTGGCTAAATTGAACCACTTGTATCCTAGAAAGGCCAGTGGTTCCGTATCACAGGGAAAGATAGCTATACCAAGTATAGGTTTGCTTTTCCTCCTGCAGTCTCAGCCAGCTCTGCTATTTGGGAATGTGTGGAATGCCTTGATTCACAAGTAAGGACCCTAGACTACATAGCATCCAAGCAGGGGAACCACTTCAAAACGAAGGAGGTAACGGGCATGGGAGCCACTGAGCTCATCGTACACCACATTCGGAAGCAGCCAGCTACAGAGAGGGCTGGAACAACCTTCCAAGGCACAGCTGAAGCTTCAGCCAGAGGCAGTGCTCTGCAAGGATTGGGTTCCATCCTTCAGGATGTAGTATGTGCACTAAATTAGAAACTTCTACATGATGCTGTGTTTCCAATAAGAAGAATACATGAGTTTGGGAGTCAAGGAGTGGAAGTAAGGTTGGCTTACCATC